GGAAGGAACGTCTACTGCAGAACCTCAGGGGGGAAGATCTACTGCAGAACCTCAGGAGGGAAGATCTACTGCAGAACCTCAGGGGGGAACATCTACTGCAGAACCTCAGGGGGGAAGATCTACTGCAGAACCTCAGGAAGGAACGTCTACTGCAGAACCTCAGGGGGGAAGATCTACTGCAGAACCTCAGGGGGGAAGATCTACTGCAGAACCTCAGGGGGGAAGATCTACTGCAGAACCTCAGGGGGGAAGATCTACTGCAGAACCTCAGGGGGGAAGATCTACTGCAGAACCTCAGGAGGGAAGATCTACTGCAGAACCTCAGGAGGGAACGTCTACTGCAGAACCTCAGGAGGGAACATCTACTGCAGAACCTCAGGAGGGAAGATCTACTGCAGAACCTCAGGAGGGAACGTCTACTGCAGAACCTCAGGAGGGAAGATCTACTGCAGAACCTCAGGAAGGAACGTCTACTGCAGAACCTCAGGAAGGAACGTCTACTGCAGAACCTCAGGAGGGAAGATCTACTGCAGAACCTCAGGAGGGAAGATCTACTGCAGAACCTCAGGGGGAACATCTACTGCAGAACCTCAGGAGGGAACGTCTACTGCAGAACCTCAGGTAGGTCGATTCACGCCAGAATTTCAGGAAGGATCGTCCAATGAAGAACTTCAGGAGGGACTATCCGATTAAGAACTTTAGGGGGGGTCGTCTGATGAAGAACCTGAGGTGGAACCATCCGAATGAGGAACTTCAGGAGGGGCAAGTAGAAATTTGGTGGACTCTGTAAGGACTGTGCACTCCAGATCATCATGAGGTCAGATCCACTCCGGATGTTAAGGAATGGGTTGCCTCAGGAACAGTTCAGGGGACAATCCACTCCATAAGGTCCGGAAGAACTTCCAGGAGAGGTTCCAGAGGTTCCAGAGGTTCAGAGCTCCAGACCTTTGGGAATGAACTGCAGCTTCAGGTGTTCAATGATCTGCTCCTGAAAACCAGCGAGGATGATCTGTGAATCCACTCCAGGAAGCACTTCAATGGAAACGTGAACTCTGATGAAACACTGAGCTGACGGATGACGGACCGACAGACGGGACCCTGTTCAACACCGGAGGTCTTTCAGATACTGTCCTGGATCGAGATCCAGAGTCATTTGGGGCTTAGCAGCACATACGTAGTTAGTTAGTTAGTTCTAGACAAGGCGGATCAGTTCATGGTTCATGGTTGTAATCCAAAGTTAGGCTGTGAAAAACTATAATGGATGAAACCAGTTGAGTCCTGATCCACCAGTCTAAGGGTAGCTGGTGACGGCCACCTGTTTCTGGGCCAGGCGGCGCAGCTCCTCCCTGATGGCCTTAATGAGGGAGGCGGAGGTGTGGGCGGAGGGCGAGGCGTCCTCCGGCGGGTACTCCGGGGTCGGGGATGTCAGGAGGAGAGGCGGCGCCGACGGGTCCCGCAACGAGGAGCTGGGCATATGGAAAACTGAGGAGGAGGAAAACTCAGGAAACGACAAAACCTGTAGGGAGAGACCAGAAAATAAATCCAGATTAAAGGGGTCATTCGTTATGATCAACAAGGATTGGGGGGTCACCAGGGACATGAGGTAGATCTCCTGAGAGGTTTCTACTCACGCTCTCTCTGCTGGCTCCGGACCGGCTCAGGTCCTGGTCCGAGTGCTGCTGGTTCCAGCTGGACCCGGTGGGTCCGGACATGCTGCGACCGACCCCGGGGTACACTCCGATCTGACTGGACAAACCCACCTGGGTCAGGTGGTGCAGCTGCGCACCTGCAGGACAACACATGGTACGGATTGAGCACATCTAGTGGTCCACCTGCAGGAGAGACGTGAAGTTTAAGAGTCTGGATTACCTGTGCTTCCCCCTACAGGTCGCGGTCTGGACGAGGAGGGGGGGTCCTCGTACTGCCGCCTGCTGGAGTAAACAGAGTCCTGCTCTCCGGTGGAAACAAACCCTCCGGAGCTGAGGCCCTGCCTGGATAAAACACACAGGATGAGTTCTGGTTCCAGCCTGGCCTGCAGACCTGGACCTGGTGTTGTTGAGACTGACCTCTGCAGCAGGTTCTGCATCGACGTGGGAGACATGCCGAGCTCAGCGTACCTCTGAGGAGAGAACCACAAGATTCATGTGAAAACTAAACAAACAGAGACCATGACGCCAACATGCTAATATTATCAGTATATTACCCCATCAGTACCACTGACTGCTGGTCTTAGTGAGTCCATCATCACTGCTCTATTTATACTACTACTAATACTACTACTTATAGTACTGCTAATATTTATACATATACTACTACTTATACTACTATCTATACTACAGTTATCTACCACACTTCATTCTGTTATTCTATACATATTTCTGCCTCTCCTAGTGAGTCCATCCATCACTCTGATTCTTCTTACATCTACCACACTTACAACAATACACGTGTATTATTATCATAAGTCTCACCGCGGAGAAGGGGCTGTGTGGGGAGGCAGCGGAGTAAGGGGGTCGGGGGGAGGGTCCGCTCACCCCCCCGCTGCCCCCCGAGGACGGAGACACCAGAGCGAAGGCGTCGTCCAGCAGGCAGAGCATCTGCTGCCGGGCCTCCTCGATGGAGGGCTGGGGGGGCAGGTAGGGCGGGGGGGGGGGCGCCGAGTCAAACACCTCG